GCAACCAATTTCCTCCACTTGCCATTATGTTTACTCTCAGAATGGCTACTGTTATCATTATGTCTAGTACTCTGAAAATATTAAACCAGAATGGAGCATATTACAGATAAAAGAACTGGAAGGCAGCGACCATGACAACCATCTCTTCCCCACTGATGTCACATATAGAGTAGCTAAAGCAACTATCTGTGCAGGTGGGGGTCGATATGCTCCGCAATTTTACATGTGACTAGTGACAGCCCTCATATACAGTAAGCCCGTGTTTTTCGCGGGTTTTTTAACGCAGTTATGACCATTCGCATTTTTTTTTACTAAAAAATTATATACCGGGGTATACCCGGTATATAAAATATCCTTTAAAAACAAAATTTAAATTTCGCGCCATTTTCGATATTCCCCTGTGAGGTGCGACAAACAGACACCACCCTTTCTCGCCTCAGACACCCGCTGCTCCAAGAAGCCTCAGTCCACACGTGCCTACCGTACTGTGAACGCTACTGTGATTACCTCTTCTGTTTGTCCTCCCACATGGCTCCGGTATGTAAGCCAGCCTCATCAAAGGCAAATATTACTAGCAAAGACTCCAAAGTGACCAAGAATAGTGATGAGACCTTTACAGAAAAAACAGTTTTATTGTACAAGCTCAGAGGTGGTATGAGCTATGGCTTGAGGTGTGGTGAAGACTGACAATTCATTTGTGTCTTTTGTCAGAATACTGTACAAGTCTTCAAGTGGAGGAATGTGGGTGGAAGAAGACTGGCTGGCTGGCGTGACTGCGTGAGGGCGGGCAGACGCCGGGACAGCAGGGAGAGGCTGGCAATGCAGGTGTTGCCGACCTCAGCAAATAAATTTTTTTATTTGCTTGTAAATAAACATTTTTTGTATATAACTGTGTTTACGTTTTTCCATTCCTATATAGTTTCATCTAAATTGCATCATTGATGTGACCACTAGACACGTGGGATTAAACATGGCATGGTGAAGTGCATGACTACTGTTTGACAGTGGTTTGGGCTTTTTGCGGGGGTTTCAGGAATGCAATTCCCATGAAAAACACAGGATTACTGTACCAAAATTTATCGTCCATGGTCTCATATTGTTTCCCACAAAGTATTCACAGAGAAGTTGTTTTAGCTACTGTACAGTACAGTATACCATTATTATATTATATTGTGCATGTAAAGTATACAGTATGCCAGGATAATTCACAGATTTTTATTTCGCGGTCCTCTATTATTCGCGGATGACACCCTGGATGTACCCAAGATTGTCTAAGGGTAGTTTTAAAGTTGTTGACATTTTCACAGCCAGGACAGGGAGTCATTCTCAAGTCTACTCCGTGCTTTGTTATTAATAGTGCGCGGGGTGCACTTGAGAGTAGACTCAACATTTTTAATAAAAATTGTCTGATTATTTGTGAGAGGATTTTCCTATTATTATTTATGTATGTGTTTTGTGTGTGTATCTATACACACACACACACACACACACATAATTGGAATACAGTAAAGCCTCCGATAATAAGATAACAACGGTTCGACCAACAACTTTTCATATTTAAAACCCTAGTGAATTTAGGACCCAATTCAATTTATGTCCTTATTTCATTGGTATTTATGACCAAAAAATAATAAAAATAAAATTACATTTTCATATGAATAATAACTAAATCCTGATATGCATTATAAAAAAAAAATTTTTACTGTAAAAAAATTAAGAGCACCTTGTGCAAAGAAGCTGCCTTGCTAATGAGTGGTAAACAACAGTCAGAGCATGGCGGGCCTTTTGTTTTCACGCATCTGGAACAGGAACAGGAGAAAAACTTTCTGAGGTTTCTTACAGCATTTTTGCATCCCTATTCAACATGAGCAAGAGAGCAAGTGATGGTAGAGTTGTTTCAAAAGCTAACAGAAAGTGTATAAGCTTAGCCGAGAAACTAGATGTGTTAAAACAATATGAAAAAGGTGAAAGGTCTGTGGATATTATATGGAGCAAGCAATGAACATATTTTCTGAAGTGGATCCATTAACAGAACAATGCATTAAAATTTAAATAAACGCAAATGACCTCTACATAAGGATGTACAATGAGAAAAGAAAGCAGCTGTGCAAGGTTCTTTCAACAGCTTTATTATTCGAAGGCCTAAACCATCAACTTCAGCTACACCATCAAATTCAGAATCATAAGCAGCTTCAACATCAACTTCAGGTTCAGTAACAGTTTCAGCAACAGCTTTATGGAAAGCTACAGCTTCAGCCAGAGTTGAACCTGATGACTTCGTCATCTGAGTAAAAACTCGCACAATATTCATTGTCTTCCCTTATGTTTTAGACTTTACCACCATTGGTGAGTTGAATTTTTGTTTTACATTCATAAGTATTATTTAAAACATATATGACCAGTAAATAAGTGTTGCTTTCATATATATATGTAGAGAAATGACGACATGTTTTCACATGTACGCACTTACTGTACATACGTTGGCGTTCCCAATCGTCTCGCTTTATTTATTTACCATTAGTGGTTAGCGACTTCTAGTGTTCCATTTATTAACATTAAATAACATTACAGCTACAACCAAGGTTTTACAGTGGGGTATGCTATAACGAATCTAATTGGTTCTAGAACCTCGTTCGTTATAAGATTAATCCGTCCCAGGCCCCCAAATACAACCGCTTAACACTGAAAATTTTCTGTGGAAAATGTAAAAAATACAGTACTTTATCTTACCTTAGTGTTATTCAGCATGCAGGTACCCCTAAACACTGGCACAGCGCTATCACTTGCACTGGGAGTCTTGGCTTTAAGGTACTCAAACAATTGTTTGGCCTTCTCACAAATTATAGCTTCACTAATGCTATCACCTGCCATTTCTTTCTCCTTTATCCACACTAAGAGTAAATTTTCCATCTCTTCAATCACATTACACCTTGCTTTGCTAAGTCTAAAGATTCCCTTAGCCACTTGCACAGTTTTTAACTCCTCTTTATTCTTCAAAATCGTACATATAGTCGATTTAGCCATCCCATATTCATCACTAAGTTTCGCAATGCTTCTTCCATTCTCACGTTTCTTTATAATTTCTTTCTTAGTTTCAAGGGTTATTAGCTTTCTCACTCGCTTTGGACGATTCATTGTTACAATTGTATACTTGTATAACAAAATAGTTATACAAATAACGCGAATTTCCACATCAAAAGACAAAATTTCAACAATAATAGTGGTGCACTGGCTACACAATGAGACAAAGATGGCGCCTCACGCTCTTGTTGTGGGTCGCTGTACAACAATATTCATGCGCCAGACGAAATAGTCCCGTATTCATCCGCGTTCGTTGTAGGAGTTGCGTTCGTTATAGCATTCTCAATTTTATAGGTAAAATCGTTCATTATAGGAATATTTGTAGTAGGATCCGTTCGTTATAGCATACCCCACTGTATTTTCTTCAGTTTCTTATGTAGAACCATCGTCACTCACGAAAACAATGCCGTCTTGTCTCCTCGTGTGTGTTTTAATATTCTATGTGTTATTAATGAATTGCATTGTTCATTTCACATATATAAACATTAATTCAATCAAATACATATTCAGTAATAAACAATAATGAATCTTTTGTACATATTCTTAAAATACATGACTATGTTTCCTTGAGTGCGCATGTATACATTGGCGTTCCACTATCAGTCTCACTTTTTCTTTAATATCAGTGGTTACTTCTACTGTACTGTACATGAAATAACATTAATGAAAACATACATATTTTTTACATTAATTTTATTACAACAACAACCGGGGTCTTATTTTCTTCAGTTTCAGGTGGATAACTGACATTATGGGTGTAAACACTGACAACAATGCCGTCTCTTATCCTCTTGTGTGTTTTAATATTCTACGTATTATTAATGAATTGCATTGTTCATTTCACATATATAAACATTAATTCAATCAAATACATATTCAGTAATAAACAATAATGAATCTTTTGTACATATTCTTAAAATACATGACTATGTTTCCTTGAGTGCGCATGTATACATTGGTGTTCCACTATCAGTCTCACTTTTTCTTTAATATCAGTGGTTACTTCTACTGTACATGAAGTAACATTAATGAAAACATACATATTTTTTACATTAATTTTACTACAACAACAACCGGGGTCTTATTTTCTTCAGTTTCAGGTGGATAACTGACATTATGGGTGTAAACACTGACAGCAATGCCGTCTCTTATCCTCTTGTGTGTTTTAATATTCTACGTATTATTAATGAATTGCATTGTTCATTTCGCATATATAAAGATTAATTCGATCAAATACATAAACAATAATGAATCTTTTGTACATATTCTTAAAAAGATAAATGGCACGGTATCCTTAAATGTGCACGTATATGTTGGCGTTCCCAATCCATTATTAACATTTAATAACATTAGTTAAAACATATATATTAATTTTTTTACATTAATTTTACTACAGCTACAACCAGGGTCTTATTTTCTTCATTTTCTCGTGTAGAATTATCGTCCCGGACTCCCGGCTGTAAACACAAACAAAAACAATGGCGTCCCATCTCCTCCTGTGACCATATTATTATTCATTTATATTGTATAAGGTGCATTCAGAAACATTATTTAAAGAATATAGTTTGCAATTTTCATTAATTGTATTGTTTTGGGGGGAAAAGAGAGTAAAAAGCCACACAAAAGATATGAAAAGGTCACACTTGGGAACATCTCATTATTGCTTTATTTTAATGGTAATTAATGATTTGGTTACGATGATTCACCTTACACTGAAATATTAGAGGACACATTACCGTCGTTATTTAAGGCTTTACTGTACAGTACAGTACAGTATATTCAGGACTGTACACTGTTATAATTATCTTCTCATACTTGGGTTTAGTGGCTACTGGTGGTTAAAGTGGTTTAGATGCTTAATTAATAACACACCAAAAAGTTGTGTGTTCATTTTCTATTTGACTGTTTCTTGTTTCCAGGATTCAGAACAATATGTAGAAAAACTTCTAGACCTGTTTCAACGATTTAGTAAATTGGTAACAGAGGCATTTAATGAAGACCCTCGGTTCCTCACTGCAAGAGACAAGGCTTATAAAGAGGTTGTCAACGATACGCAAGTCTTCAAATTAGAGTTGCCAAGTAAAACAGTACGTTTTCATGCATTGTTCCATTTTTTAGTTGTGTTTAAAAGATAAACTTTACCCAGATTTATGACGTAATATGCCATCAAAGTGTGTCATCCTTTTGACGAGAAAGAATTGTGAATGCCAGGGGGTCTCACCTCATATAGTAACCAAGTCTGTTCATATTATAGTTATGAAAACCTTGCCCACTCTCAGAATTGGTCCAGAGTCATGGATTGTGTGTCGATTGTTATTGTTTCACAGTGATGCTCCTTGTTGATCAGTCTGTTGTCAGTAGATATACTCCTGCTGCACAACAGGATGCCTAACATGCACAACAGGATGGAACTTCTTTTACACAGCACTGTCATGTGTATCCATATATTTTTGCAACACACACACACACACACACACACACACACACACACACACACACACACACACACATTTTACCCTTTTACTAGTCTTTTTCTCTACCATCAAGAACACAGTTTCCAATTAATTAACTTTAGAGTATGTCTCAGCAAGTGAATGGTTTGGGATCATTTCTCAACTGGAGTGGGGGATTGGGTTACCTCCTTGTACACTTGCACTTATGCATTAAGCATTGAATGTATACACCATCATGTGTATTTGCTGACAGTAGAACAACCCTTTAAAGACTAGTATCCTGCCATGGGGATGGGATAACCCCGTTAGCTGCTGAATGTTAAGTCTCAGTTGATCAGCACCCATCTGGCATCCTTGAATCATTGTAGGAAAAGGCTTGTATGATTTAAGAACAAATTATATGTACTGAATATGCACTATTTATGATACTGTTTATGATAGGCTTATTCCTTTGTCTGTCCACTCAACAAACTCATTAAACTTACCTTGTATGCTTCCACACATAACAGTAATAAGTTTGCTTATGGTAAACCTCTTTGAGAGATATTGCAGGCTGTTTAAACATCATTTCACTGAATGTTGAGAGAAACAGGACCATGTTGTGTATGTTGAGTGATCCACCTGGTAGTAAAACAGAATGGTGGTACCAGTACTCATTAATTTTTTTATTTCCCTGCAGAAAGGGATTGGCAACAAGACCCAACCTGAATCTAAATGTCCAGAACTGCTTGCAAACTACTGTGATATGCTGCTCAGAAAGACTCCACTTAGCAAAAAGCTTACTGCAGATGAGATTGAGAGCAAATTAAAAGATGTGGTAAGTACTATATTCCTGTACATTATATTTGGCAGGGCTTAGCACTGTTTTGCTCTGTGGTATGTAAGATATACATATAGGATGCTTGTTTGTCTGTTTTCAAGTAGTTTGTGTATTTTATTCTTTATATGTATACTGTATACCAAATCAAAGTGTTTTTTGTCAGTACTCTTAACTCCCATATTTTTGCAAACGTTCTCTTGTCTTCTTAAGCATAATTTAAATAGAGAAGAGAGTTGCCATATATGAGGTCTGTCCAAAAAAGAAACCGAACTTTTTAAATAGCATGCCAACGAGCCGGCGCAGCGTGCTCGTGATGGGAGTGCTGTGTATTGGTGACCTGACCAATTAGTCATCGAGTTACACGCGCTAGAGTGAACGTTTGTTTAGTGCACTTAGCGATTTGTTGCAAGTTGAACAATGAAGGATCTTGAAGAGCAACGTGTTTGCGTGACATTCTGTTTCAAATTGGGAAAAACTTTAAGGGAGACTTTTCAAATGTTGCAACAGGCTTATGGGGAGGGTTATTTGAGCCGTACACAATGTCACGTGTGGTACCAGCATTTCAAAAGGGGGAAGAACATCCACCAAAGACGATCCCAAATCTGGACGTCAGAGTCGCTCAAATGTGGAGGTGATGTTGATCGTCTTTTTTGATTGGAATGGAGTCGTTCATCATGAGTTTGTTCCACGTGGTCAGACAGTCAATAAAGAGCTTTACGTGGAGGTCCTGAAGCTTTGAGGGAGGCAGTGCAGAGGAAGAGGCCTGGACAAACAAGACCTGGATGTTGCACCATGACAATGCACCTGGTCACGTGTCGCTCCTTATCCGTGACTTTTTGGCGAAGTTCGAGGCGACTATCATCCTCCAGCCACCCTACTCTCCGGATTTGGCTCCTGTGGACTTTTTTTGTTCCCAAAGTTGAAATCCACCCTGAAAGGTCGCCGATTTCGGACGATAGAAGAGATAGAAGAAAATTTGCTCCGTGACTTGCGCACCATCTCTCAAAACGCGTTCCAGAACTGGAAAAAACTTTGGGAGCTGTGTATCAACAGTGGAGGGGAGCACTTTGAAGGAGACAAGTCTGATTAAGTTGTAAGTAAAGCAATAAAAAATTTTTTTTTAAAAGTTTGGTTACTTTTTGGACAGACCTCATATTAGCTTACTCTTGTTGGTAGTTTGCATATACTGTACTTTTAATTTATTTGTGAACACAGTAGCACTGGGAAGGGAGGAGCCACAATTTATCATCCATAAGATGTTGGGGCCTTAGAGTTCTTTGAGACTCATAATCTTTGTAATTTACTCCCCAGTTGCTGGTGCTAAAGTATGTGAGCAACAAGGATGTCTTCATGCGGTACCACAAGGCGCATCTTACGCGTCGTCTCATCCTCGACACCTCAGCTGACTCGGAGAAAGAGGAGAATATGGTAGAATGGTAGGTAAAAGGAATATGATGATGTTATAGGATATAGGGGTGAGTCACAATATGATAGGGTGATGGGTCAGACTCATGAACAAAGATGTTAGGGGATAGTGAGTCATTAGGAAGACTCATGTTTGGTGGGGTAGAATGTGGTAGTATGGTTGGTAGTGAGTGAGGAATGTACAGCAAATAAGTCGTATTCTGTGTGAATGGGTAAAAAGGATGCTATAGAGTGATATATGGGGGAGGACATGCTGCTAATGACTGCTGGGTTATGTAAAGCAATAGGGAGAAACCAGATGGATATTTTGGGCCTTATTGTGGAAAAGGTATCAAAGTAGAATATCTGTTACAGGGGTAAGAATAAAAGAACGACAGCATATGAAAGGAAAATATGTATGTGTAATTGTGTATGATTCCACCCACCTTACATTATACAGTAGTTGAAAGTCAAAATGCTGTAACATGATATTATTTACAGACTGCATTATAATTTAGAGTTCATGAATGAAAAAATTACACATACTGTATGGTATTTGTATTCTACACAGGTTGCGAGAGGTGGGCATGCCTGCAGACTATGTCAATAAGCTGGCAAGAATGTTTCAAGATATTAAAGTGTCCGAAGATCTCAATCAGCAGTTTAAGGAAACCATTAGAACTACTACCAAGTCTAGTGTAGCAGGTAAGGATTTTACAGCTGCTGTTGAACAAAGTTTCATCCTTTCCATATGGTCTTTCTTTTCCAGGTAAGCAAGTGATGATTGCTTCACTTAAATGACAGCCAAACATATGTGTAGTAATCTTCAAGAGGTGTCCCAGTGTTCTTGAAAAGAGGTCCATCTTAGTCCCTAGACCTTTCCCCTCTATATTTTGGTCTACATGGTCACCTTAAATTTGTGTAGTAAAAAAATTACCCAAGAAGCTTAGAAGACACGAAGGAGACAATTACGGGTGAATGTGCTAAAATTTATATTCCCATGTTAGGAGGGATTCAGTTATCTTTGCAAAAAAGAGTTGTAAATGTTATACGTGTAAGTGATTCTCATTTTGAATAATAGAAATACTGTAGATTTATTACGTTAACATAGAAATGCAGTACTGAACCTGTACATAAATATTTATAAATTTCTACAGGTCTTGACTTTTACTGCACCATTTTACATTTATATGAGTCCTCCAATCCTAGTACAGTAATATTAGAAAAGAGGATTTCAGGGTTACTTTTATTTTTTTCTTCAGAATTTGAAGTAGTGTCTGGTGGGGGATCACTTCAAAACCTCCCACCTTATTGTATGTGGGATTTTTATTTTATAGTTTTATTCGTTTATGCTGTGATCCACCCCATATTAGGTAGGAGAGAAGTAAAGATAAAAACCGTGATAGATTGGTAAATAGATGTTTTACTTTATAATAGAATGGTAGACAGATGCATATAAGAGCCAAATACTGATATTGTTGGTGTTTAAGTGGGGGTTATTTGTTATCCACGTTGAAAGAATTGGAGGCCCAATGAGGAAAGGAGTGTGAGTAGGAAAGAGACCTCCACTATCAAAAGGGAGGAAGAGGATGTTCATGTATGTGGCATTTAAAGAATGTTTTGATGACAAGTGGTGTAGTACTGATGGTAAGGTGGAGTACTGGGAAGAGCATCTGGGTACAGTAAGGCTTGGGGTGGTACATAGATTGTTGGCAATTCCACACATGGATAATCAAAGTTCTGTTAATGGAACAGTTTAACAATTGGATATAGTATGAATGTTAAGATATGTGAATTTGCATTTACAGTAAATACTATGTAATCATTCTTTGTTTACCATTTTTTACAGATAATCTTAACATAAAAATATTGAATGCGGGAGCATGGGCGAGAGGTAGTGATCGAGTAGCAGTCAGCTTACCCATGGAGCTGGAGGACTTCATCCCAGAGGTTGAAGACTTCTATCGAAAGAAACACTCAGGCCGTAAACTTCAGTGGCATCATCACATGTCCAATGGCACAGTAGGTCCCCCCTCCCCCCCCACCAAACTTTCCTGTTTAGAATTTTAGCTATGTTTAATCATTTATTGTATGCAAAAATTTTTGTGTTATTAATAGTAAAGGTGATTCTAGTAAATTATTGCACCCAATTCAGTTCTCATCAGTGGCATTTCCGGAACCTCAAGGATTGAAAGGAGGATGGGGAACAAAAGTAATCAATGCAATAAGAGCCACCTGGCTTAAGGACTTGTGCAATGAATGGAACATTGATCTTGAAATAGTATTCTTTAGCTGTGCCCATAATTAACCAGGCAACTTGAATACCCTCTCTCCTCATAGAATTTGTGAATTAGTTAGTTGTAGCAAAATTTCAAATTAGCAGATTCACCCTGAAATTGAAAATAGCTAACAGTAGCTTTGGCACAAAATAAACTGATGAGAGAGACAAGGTTCTGTAAGGTCTGCAGCTAGAGGGCAACTGTTATAACTAATACCCTTATTGGAGGCCAACAGTGTGATGGGGAAGAAAGATCTCCCAGGCTACAAGCTCCAAAAGACTATGATTTCAGGATCAAAACTTCATATATGGACTAATCTATAAAAATATAGATTAACCTTCAGAGATAAAGTTCTATTTAGGAAGTTAAGCTGATAAATAAATAAATAAAATTACTCATTATGGGGGTATATTGACACAGGTATTTGGATAGCACAAATAAGAATCTGTGAAGACTTTGGTGCAATGACTGTGCAGACAATAAGGTTAGGTTTAGCTTGGGAATAAATTTGATAATGTAGTTTGGATGCTGCAATGGTGTGTTTTAACTATTAAAAAGTATGCATTTTCTAGTGTTTGTGTTTCTTGAAATATATATGAGAGAGAGATTACCGTACAATCGTACATGTAGATTGATATGGACCGAGTTGCTGAAAATTTTGGTTGGGCTGCTAGCACTAACAGAACTAAATTGCCAAAAAAGAGAATGCAGTTACATATGTTTCAGTAATTAATACCAGAATATTTTTCATATAACATTAACTCTTCCTTTTTCTCATTCTCTACAGATCACATTCTCTAACAACATGGGAAGATTTGACTTGGATGTCACCACTTTTCAAATGGCTGTCATGTTTGCATGGAATCAGAGGACGCACGACAAGATTTCTTTCGATAATCTTCGTCTTGCCACTGAGCTGCCCGATCCTGAGTTGCGACGGACATTATGGGTAGATAACTTCTGTTGATGTTGGATAAGAAGTTCTCTTTCCTCTGTTATTATTGAATAAGAAGTATGTTACAGTTAGCAGGGCACAAAGGGGACAGCAAAAAGATGATGATTATTTATGAGTGAAGCAGTAGAGAGAGATTAAGTGGAAGGCAGGTAATAAGCAGAAAGCTGTAGAATTTAAGAAGGTGTTTGATACAAAAATAGAGGAACATTTGTGGAAGTTTACTGCTTTGTTTACATATCAAAAGAAACACAAGATGAAGAACAAGGTTAAAGATTTTCAGACTTTGACATAAAAGTTTTTACGAATAAAAGAAATACAGGAAAGGAATAAAAAGACAAAATATGCCGTAGAAACAGACTAAATTTCCCTTCCACCCTAAAAACTGTTTGATGAGTGATATATGTCATTAAAGGGCAATAGAGACTGAGTGGATACAGTGCTTGCTTCCTCTTTTAA